TGCTGAGCATCACATAGCTCAAGCCATATAACTCTCAACATCTGACTTTCCTCTCTTCTTTTCCTTTATACACAGGTCGCACTGCGCAAGCAGTTGCAGTTCGAGCCAAAGCATTTGGATTCAGTGTGATATTTTACGACCCATACCTGCAGGATGGAATAGAAAGGTCTCTAGGCGTCCAGCGAGTCTACACACTCCAGGACCTGCTCTATCAGAGCGACTGTGTATCATTGCACTGTAACCTTAACGAACATAATCACCACCTTATCAATGACTTTACGATTAAGCAGGTAAATTACCTTCTCTCTAAAAGAAAGATCATTTTATGGTTCTTGCTGCAAACCCAGAACATATTACTGTTGAGCGCTGGAGGGAGCCAATGCTGTCATAGTGATACCAGTGATTTTTATCTTTGAGTAGTTAATTACATCCATTTCTTTCCCATTGTGTACCAGGTGATAGCATTTTACCAGGTAAGAGAGCCCATTCATGCAGTTGCAGAGACAGAAACAGCAGGACTTATATTGTTTGACATTTCAAAATAGAGCTTAGGCTTTCTAAATAAAAGCCTTTGTTAGTAAATGAACACCAGAACCTCCTTGCTCGCTTAGAAGGGATGCAAAATGTGTGTGTTTAGAGGTAATCTTTTCAGCAAGGAAAATCTGCTTGTATTTACCATATAAAGTGTTCTGAAGTTCTGCAAGCAGCGTGATGGCTTGGAAGATGCCAGTAGGAGAGGATGCTACCTACTGTACGTGTAGTGAGAAGTGAAGAGTCATTGAATAACTATATTGAACATTCTCCCCTTTCCTCCTGGCTTCCATTAGATGAGGCAGGGAGCATTCCTAGTAAACACAGCACGTGGCGGGCTTGTGGATGAGAAAGCCTTAACTCAAGCCCTGAAAGAAGGAAGGATACGAGGAGCAGCACTTGACGTGCATGAATCAGAGCCATTTAGGTAAACAATGGGTTACGGGTTTGGATTTTTTTTTTAATTAAAAAGCTTCACTTTTCATCTTACAGCTAGATGAGGGCTTATATCTATTCCCATTGGCCCCTGTGCCCACAAATGGGCCCTGTTACTGTTGAACCTAGAATTCCTAGTGCTATGAATAAGAAAATACAGTAGTCATTTTTCTAGAAGTAGTAATCTACAGAAGTCTTGATACCATTACTAATTTAAAGTTTTGGTTTAGAAACAAAGTTGAAAGGGGACTGTGTCAGGTTAAAAGTCGTGTTTCGTTACAAAGAATGCTCAACTCCACAGTGAAATAAACCAACACTAGTACAAATCTACTAAGTTTGCACTGCAGAGGCGAAAGGAGAACATTTGTTTATAAAAGTAAATGAAAACTATTACTGGAAATCGTGGACAGAGTTCTGGTGACAGTTTTGAGAAAGCTTTCTCTTTATTTACATACAAATAATTCTATGTAAACTTACAAACTCAAATGTTTAAGTAGCCTGGCAGTGTCCCTTCTAAGTCTCCAGCATTAGTGGCTTTGCTCCTTTAGTCCGATGTGAAAAAGAGACACTCTGCTGGAGACAGATGAACGATAGTTGCTGCTAGAGAGATGCCCAACCATTTATCTCCTCATTAATACAAGTGATGGAAGCATTGAGACCACTCATCCAGCAGGTTTGTCAAACCAACCTGCTCTTTTCTTCACAATTGCTGAGCGTAAAATATTTCAGCACTCATGCAAAGTCCAAAATGCCCCTTGAAGTCCAACACTAAAGCAGTATTTCAGCACCTCTTTCCCCAATGCCAGACACCACTCAACAGCTTTAGGCTAGATGGAAAGCGCATGTTGTTCCACGTTCAGTACATTTACAGTGCCTGTAAATCATGTGGCTAGAGCAGTGGCTTGCATGTGAAAGAAGCTGGCCAATATGTTTTCGTGATTTGTAACTTTCACCCTAATTTTTCATATTTATATAGTTTTGCTCAAGGCCCATTGAAAGACGCTCCTAATTTAATTTGTACTCCACACACTGCTTGGTACAGTGAGCAGGCATCCCTAGAGATGAGAGAGGCTGCTGCTACTGAAATTCGTCGTGCAATCACAGGTATCTAACCCTTTTATCTCATGCATATTTTATTTAGCCTACTTTTATTTTGTAGTAGGTAGCACAAGTCAGTGGATTGGACAAGGAGTTTGGAGCCAGGAGACCTGGTTCTGAAACCTGGCTTTGCCATTGAGTTGCTGTTACCTTGAACAGCTTATATGTGGCCCAGTGTAAAGAGGCGCTAAGCTCCCCCAGCTCTCTGAGGCCATTAGGTATGCATTATTTGCCCCCCATTATGCAGGCCAAGGAATTGTCAAGGAGAGGTTCGTGATTTGATTGGCGAGAAATGATCCTTACTCCACCTTTCTAAAGCACTGCCAGCCAATAACTATTATTGATACTACACACAGTGCAAGTTTATGAACAGTGCAGCACGTGGCCAGCTGGCTGACACAGACTCTTTTAATTATTGCCTCTTAAAGCAATAAGCCTGAACTGCAGAAAAATAACCTTTGATGTCACAGACACTGATAAATCAGAATAATTGTGCACTGACTTCCAGAAGGCCTTGGTGTCACAAGACCTCTGGGTATTTTAGCCCTAAAGAACTGTATGTCCCAGCCAAGCCCCATATAGCAAAAAGATGGCCAAGATCCAGCCTCCAACTTCCCTCCAACTTTTGGAGTAGGAAACACACACCTAAACAAGGAGGACTTGCATCTTGAACAGTTGTATTCCACCCAGTCATTTCAGGCACCTAGCATTGAAGAGAAGGCAGCGGTGCCACAGTAACAGTTGGTGTGGGCAGCGTACCAGCCAATGTAACCTAGGGCAGGCGTGAGGTTGTACTGGAGACTGAATTGGCAATCCGCTACCCCTAGATCAGAGGGCTGCAAAGGTAACACAAAGCCACTTGTGTCCAAAACCCTGACACTGTGGGTCTGTCTTTAGGCACAGCTGAATGTGACCCAAGAATTGGGCCCATCAGATGTGTGTAACATTACAGCTAATCTTTGACACCTCACTTTTCATCTGGTAATGGAAGTTATTTACCTTATGGCAGTGGTCACCATAGTGATCAAGTAGTAGATCTTGAAGCCTCTCACAGGTGATCCTGACTGGTTTGCCCAGGAGGCTATCAAGTGCCGGCACTTCAGCAGCCCTTCCCCCCAGTGCACACCTCTTGCCCTTTGCCTTGGAGCTGCCCCTCCCCCTGGGGAGCCTCCTGCTTCCTGGGCAGAGCAGGGGAGGGAGAGGAAGGAAATAGATGTCAGGGTGCCCCCTCCCCCTCTTTCCTTTCTCCACAAAGCAGAGAGGGAGCAGCACTACAGGACTTGGGATGGAGTTTGCTGGCTGTTTTAGGGAGTGGGCCAGGGCCAGGGCAGGGGTGAGCCTGCCTTAGTCCCAGTGCATCACCACCTAGGAGTCATCTGAGGTAAGGAGTGCCCAGCTGGAGCCCACATCCCAAACTCCTACGTCAGTCATGAACTCCCTCCTACCCTCCAGCTCTCTGCCCCAGCCCCAAGCACCCCTGCATCCATACACCCTCCTAGAGTCTGCACCTAGAACCCCCTCCTGCATCCCAGCTGCCTGTCCCAAGAGCAGCTCAGAGCCCCTCTCACACTCCAGATCCCTTAATCCAAAACCAGAGCTTGCACCCTCTGGCCCAGCCTGGTGAAAGTGAGTGAGGATGGAGAAGGGAGGGAGGATGGAGTGAGCAGGGGCAGGGCTTCAGAGAAGGGCTGGGAGGGAGGTGGGGCAAGGGTATTTAAATTTGAGGTAGCTCTTGGATTGCACTTAAATTCAAAAAGTGATCTTGTGCTTAAAAAGGTTGGAGGCTCATTTCCTACATACATCTCTGAAATCTGCAGAAAGTCATGTTACAGTAGTGGTACAGCAACCCGTTATGCTCAATTGTTATTCTGGCTCCAGAAACATTGCTGGGTTCTCCTAACTATTCCATTTTGCAGTAGAAATCAGAAAACAGTAGCTCATTGTATGCTGATAAGGCCATAAGTGGCTTAACACTTATTTAGCTTTAATAACTATATTCCAGGTCGCATCCCAGAAAGCCTAAGAAACTGCGTGAACAAGGAATTCTTTGTCACAACAGCTCCATGGTCAGTAATAGATCAGCAAGCACTTCATCCAGAGCTCAATGGTGCCACATACAGGTAAGACAGAAAAAAATATTTTCACAGCTGTTTCACCCAGACTGGAATTCCATATGCAGTGACAAGGCTGCTAGTGACTATTTCTAAAAGAAATCTCTGTGGATTTGACTAGGTAGAGGATCTGTGTGTGTGGTGATTCAATAGAATGTAACAGCACTGCTCCAGTTACTTATTCTATAGAAATCTTAGTTTTTACACATTTATTCTGTTGAACTGCTGATGTTGCATCTCCATAAACAGGCCATACACAGAATCTCTAGATTTGTTCTGTACTTCTGTAGAAGGGCTTCAGGCAGTCTCAGGCTAATCGGTTTAATCTAGCCATTTATACCATGCTTATCACCACAGCCTAAGAAGCTGATGGAAAATTTGAGACTCAGTGCATTATTCTTACTAAAAATACCCCCAAGTCTATAAGGAGCTGTGGAGCTTTTGTGGGCCAGAGGCTGGATCAATCAGAAATATTTATAAATAAAAGTATAGGCACTGTACAGGAAGTAGCCTGTGCTTTTAATTCACAGAGAAAAAAGTGAGAGTTTGGAGTGCCAGGGGAGCGTCTATAGGGGGGGAAGATTAAACTTGAGACAAAGGCTTAGGATACAGTAAAACACAAGCACACAGGATTTTGAGAGAGAAATACTCAGAAATGTTGCCCTATAGCTTCCAATATCAGCACCAGGCAGATCATGTTATACATTAGTAGTCTGATTTTTTTTAAAGGAGCATATTCTTAGCCAAGATTTTCAAAGATAAGAGGCTTAACACTAGACTTTTAAATCCATATTTAGGCACCTAGATTTTCAAGTGCTGCGTGCCCAGCAGTTTCCATGAGGTTTTAGAGTCTTGGTTTTAGGTGTATAGAAACAAGCAGCTACAAGACCTGAAGCCAAGGGTGTCATTTATGGGGGGCTAGGAAGGGGACTAGCCCCACATCTCAAGTTTGGACCCCTGCATTTCATACTTGAGGTCTGCTTAAAGCCCATGTCCCGGCTCCAGAGTCAGTTCTTAAATGCAACAGAGTTTGACCTGCTTGCAGTTTTGCCTTTGGGGTAGGGAGTTTGTTTTAAAAAGAGGAAGGCATGGTGATTAAGAATAACAAAAGGCTGGGCGTTCCAGTAATTGAAAGATCATTAGATCATGAAAACATTGCTGGGTGCTCCACTTAATAGATGGGGCAAAGGAAGAAGGAATGAGTGTTGTGCTTCTGGGTTTTGCATTTGGATTACTGTGTTAAACTTCCAAATGTTCTTGAAAAAGTACTGAACAGAGACTGATCCAAAGCTGGCTGCAAAGAGCTACAAAGGGATTTCACAAAATTGAGTGGTTGAGCAACACAAAGGCAGATGGAATTCAGTATTGATAAGTGCAAAGTAATGCACATGGAAAAATATAATCCCTAACTATAAATACAAAATAGCTATTTCCACTCAAGAAAGATATCTTGGAATCATTGTGGATAGTTCTCTGAAAACATCTGTTCAATGTGCAGTGGCAAACTAAAATGCTAACAGAATATTGGACATCATTAAGAAAGAAAAATATAAGACAAAATACCATATTGCCACTACAGAAAGTCATTGTATGCCCACATCTTGAATACTGTATGCAGATCTCGTCAACCCATCTGAAAAAAGATACATTGTATTTGGAAAGGTACAGAAAGGGCATCAGAAATTATTTGGGGTGAGGAACAGCTTCCATATGAGGAGAGATTAACAAGACTGGGACTTTACAGCTTGGAAAAGAAATGACTTAAGAGTGGGAGGGGGAGTATGTTAGATGTCTAGAAAATCATGAACGGTGTGGAAAAGTAGAATAAGGAAATGTTATTTATTCCTTAACATAACACAAGAAACTGACCCAATTACATTTATAGGCAGCAGATTTAAAACAAATAAAATAAATTATTTTTCACAATCAACTTGTGGAACGAACTCTTTGCCAGGAGATGGTGGAAAGGCCCAAACTATAACTAGGTTCCAATAAGAATAAAATAAGTTCAAGGGGGATAGGTCCATCAGCGGCTGCTAGCCAGAATGGGCAGGGATGGTGTCCCTTGTTCAGAAGCTGGGAATGGGCGACGGGATGTATCATGACAATTGTCTCTTCTGTTTATTCCTTCTGAAGCACCTGGCACTGGCCACTGTTGGAAGACAGGCTACTGGGCTACAAGGACCTTTGGTCTGACCCAGTATGGTCATTCTGATGTTCTTATACAGAGCTGAAATGTATCTGCCCCCTTGGTGTAACTAAAACCCCACTCCCCTTCCAGAGCTGAGAGCGAGCCCAGAAGCCCTGACGGGGTTTCTCTTTCTCCACAGAGTTAGTAATAAAGTAAGAATATACATTACAATGATAAGACTAACCAGTGTCCCTTAAGAGACTTGCCACAAGTTGTCAGACTATGTTAGTGTGAGAGCTAAGTGGGTCTAATATTTATTTATTTTTAGGAATTGGATATAGTACTCCTGTCAGCTAACTGCTAAGTTGTCTCCTAAAAAAGTAGTTATCCAGTAGCACCTTGATAAGAGATGATGCGTGTGGGGGAGGGAGGTTTGGTGGTTGGCTTGTACTGAGCATGCTCAGTAACACTGCTGAAACTGCTGTTCTCAGTCTGCACCCCAGTGCTTTCACAGACACCTCTCCCTCCCTCGATCACGGTATGCACAGGTCAATCACCCACCACCACCCAAATCTGAAATGGTGCCCCTGCCTGAGGTCATGATTTTAAAAAAAAAAGACACTCCCCCCTCCCATCCCAAGTCTCAATGTTTATTTTAAATTAATAGACATTCCTCAGCAGTGTGGCTAATCAGAATACTGCAGCATAGCAGTAAAGCATGAGAACTGAAAAATGAAACTAAATTCCCAATTTTCTTTTTCCAAACTGAGAGAAATGAAAAAAAAGTAATTAAATGTCATGAATAGCAGAAAATAAATGAGGCTTTTAAAGTGCTTCCAGTTTCAGTGTAAGCTGGGTTTAGTAACCAAGGTTACTGTGTTTTATTACGATACAGTTTGACAGTGTCCCTTTTCAAGTGGGCAAATCGACTGGAAGGAGGTATCTGAAGAATGAGATTAACTCTAGCACACACATCCTCCTAACTTCGCTGGGCCCTCCCACAGCACATGGACTAAGAAACCTCCTTAGCCAGTTTAAAAATGCACATGTGGGGGCCAGATCATGGCCTTGTTAGAGCTGCTTTGCATTTGACAATGGCATTTTGCTACTGAGTTGTTGGCCAAGGCTGTATACTATTCCACTATGGACTGCAGCTTAATTGTAGAAAGAAAATGGCATAAAAAGTTCATTTCTGTATTATTTTAAGAAAATGCAGTTATAACTGTCAGTAAAATGTCCAGTGCCAGTTGTGTCGCTAACTTACACTGCAGCAATCAAAGGAGAGAGGAAATGAAGGAGTAAAATGGTCTGCTCTTCAACTCTGTATGAAACGCTCATAATTAAGCGTGAATGAGGCAGTTCAAACAACAGTGGTGTCATACACTGTGCAAAACAAATGTTGAGCGAGATTCTACTGTTTCCTGGAGCGACTCATTTTATTTGGGCCAGCTATAAAAGAAGTCATGACTCTGTGGAGAATAGAGAATTTAGCATCAAAAAGTAGCCAGAATGTTACACTTGGGATGTGCCCTAGCAGGATATGCAGCGTATTGTGGTTAAAGCTGTTGCTTTCGCTGTTTAAAATTGTATTTTTATAGTATGCAGCACACATACTGCTTATTGTGTAACACATTTAGATTCTAAAGCAGTGGCATCAACCAATAGTTCAGGATCTACTGGTAGATCTTGGAGTCTCTGACAGGTGATCTTGACAGCTTTGGCCAAGAGGCTATCAACTGCCAGCGCTTCAGCTGCCCCTCCCACTATTGCTGCTCAAGTCCTGCCCTTTGCCTTGGAGCTGCCTTCCCCACCCCCGGGAACCTCCCGCTTGCAGGGCATGGGAGGGAGAAGAGGGGTGCTGATGTCAAGGTGCCCCCTCCCCCACCCTGTATTCTATCTCCACAGAGCAGAGTGAGGGGCACAACAGGACTTGGGATGGAGTTTGCTGGCTGCCTTTGGGAGTGGTGCAGGGCCAGGGCGAGTCTGCCTTAGCCCCACTGCACCACCACCCAAGAGCCACCTGAGGTAAGCAGTGTCCAGTCGGAGCCTGTATCCATGAACCCTCTCCTGTACCCCAAGTCCCTCCCGTAGCCCCAAGCACCCCTGCATCCAAACACCCTCCCAGAGCCTTCACCTAAAACCCCCTCCGGCACTGCAATGGCCTGCCCCAAGCTCAGCTCAGAGCCCCTCTCACACTCCATATCCCTTAATCCAAGACCGGAGCCTGTGCCCCAACCCACTGCCCCTGCCTTATGAAAGTGAGGGAGGCAGGGAGGATGGAGTGGGAAGGGGGGGGCGGGGCCTCAGAGAAGAGGCACAAAGGAGGCGGGGCAAGGGTTATTGGGTTTGAGGTAGATCTGAGATTGCACTTAAATTCAAAAAGTGATCTTGTGCTTAGAAAGGTTGGAGACCACTGTTCTAAACTGATGTACAGCACAGATTGCTAACAATATATTTTCATTAGTGTAGATCAGCCACTTTTGGAGTATGCTTGCCCACTTAAACTATGAGCGCATTTTTCAGGTCTAGCAGTAGAGACCAGGTATTTTAATGAGATGGAACACGTGTGTGTCTACAGCATGTGTTGGGGGAGTGAGTTTGGTTTTGCTCATGAAGCCATAACTTGGAGAATGTGGCCAAGATGAATAAAACATTTTAGCACAGTGTAATTAAGGGTCAAGATCCTTGTGCCAGAGGTACTACTAAGAAACTGTAACTGACAGTGGGGGTAAAACAAGCCATCTGCTTCCCTTCTCATTTTCATCTCAGAGTTCAATGCAAGTTTAACCCTGCTTCTGAAATTTCCTCCCACTCCCTTTTCCTTTGGCCTTTGCCCATTCTACTTCATACCAAAAGTACTATCAACTTCAGCTGGTTTGTTATTTCCATGCCAATTCATCTGATGAAGATGTTTGGCCAATTTCCATGCCAATTCATCTGATGAAGTTGTTTTACCGACAAAAGCTCATGATTTTCTCTTATTTCTTAGTCCCTAAGGTGCCACAGGACTTTTCCTCCTCAGTCTCCTTGAGCTTTGTTGTCATTTAGTAGTCTGCATTCCCCTCCTCTACACTTTTCTCATGATATACTCAGCTTTTCCATGTGACTGCTCTGATGGAAAAGACTTCATACTTGGCCATTGTTCCTGTTCTGTAGTTATTCCTTGATGCCTTAGTTTCAGCTCTTCCCTTCCAGAGCCTGTTCCATCAGCCTCATCTCATATTTTTCTTGGCTATCCCATTTCCTTCACAAGCTCAGCATCAGTTCTGCTTTCCATTTACATCTCTTTCTGTTATGGTTGAGAGTGCCACCAACTCTCCATTAGCTAAGCTAACCCTGATTTTGTACTTGCTGCCTCTCTCCTCCCTGGCACTCTGGTGAAATCATATCTGTCTTTTTTTCCTTCTAACATCTGTCCTGTCCCCTCCATTTCTAATCCAGGCCTTGTTTGTCACATCACATCTACTGCAAAAAACCCCCACCTGCCCTCCATGTTTATCACCATAAGCCCTGCGACTGTCATCTCCAGCCAGTTTACCCCATTGCTATTCTTTATACTAAGATCAAGGTATTTGTCCTTGTGTGCTCTTTCAGTTCTGCATCATGCCACCTCTGCAGATATTGCTCCTCTTACGATCCTCATGAGGGTACACCTATTCTGCAGGCTAAAGTTGAGTTCAGCTATGCAATTATCATAGCTGAAGTTGCATATCTTAAATCAAAGTAGTTTAACTTGGCTTAAACCAAAGAATATTCTTCCTTCAACTTCTGTTACTCCTTGTGAAATGAGGGTTACAGAAAGTGGAGTAAGAAGCCTGTTATTTCGAAATAAGGGTGCAGTGTAGACATAGCCTCACTGTGCTCCTGCCTGCTCTCTTGGCTTTGCACCATTTAGTCCTGTGCCAAAGAAGAAACTGTCCTCTTGATTCTGGACTCAGATACAGCCCCCACCTATGCTACTGCTAGGGTTGCCAGGTGTCCAGTTTTCACCCAGACAGCCCAGTATTTGCAGGCGCTGTCCGGGTTGAAAAACAGAAAATACCAGACATGTGAAATATCCGGTATTTCCTGTTTCCCTCAGACGGAAGCCCAGCGGGGACATTTTCCCCCTGCCATATCTGTCAGAGGCAGGGGAGTGAGGAGTGCAGCAGAGTGGTAGCAAAGAGGAGCAGGAGGGGGTACTTGCCAGGTGCCACACTAGGGGGGGCGCCGGGCTGGGAGCAGAGCACACGCTGCTCTGGCCCCCCG